GGGGTCACGAGATTATTTCAACTTTTCTGGGTCTTGCCCTGGGCTGATATATTTATCTAATTTCCTGCCCTCGCCTTCCCATCACCTATTAATCAGGAGTGGTCGTTAACGAGTTTATGACACTGGTGCTTTGATGAAGACGCTCCCACAACGACATGGAAGAGGCACCACAGACTGACACGTCTCCTGATGCAAACCAGGAGTGAAAAGCTCCACAGCTGATAATTGATCTAAGTACAGAGGAGGATCTGGGACTCCAACCGACAACATGGGCTCTAATCTATATCTGCAGCATAGAAACAAAAAAATGAGTTTCAGTGAAATTTACATTCAGTAAATTAATGCAAAACTGGGGAGGAAAAATGGCATTTCACTTCAAAAATGACATTTTATAAGATCTAACAGCAGATATATACCTGCTTACATATACTGTAAAACTACTGGGGCAATAGGATTTTGTGCTGGGTCTTTTCATCTCAGTGCACGTTTTTGTTCCATGCTGGGAATGCCAGCCCCAGAGAAATCACAGGCAGCTAAAACTTTCCCAGCTATTGCTCTGTTATTCACAAAAGATTTACCAAATTCCTTTAAATAATTTTTCCCCCTTATCTCTTTAATGACTTCACCTAAAATTACTTTCCCTTTGTTCAGTCCCTCCCCCCCCCCCCCCCCCCATCCAATTTTGTTAATGAAGGCCCAGAATGCTAACTCACTTTACCACTCTCACGGGAGAAAAATCTGGACCGGCCGTCGTGCTGTGAGGTCCGGCCCTGAAAACACGACGGTTCGTCTGGGAGTGTGAAACATGCATAGACTTCAAATAGATGATGTCACTCCCTCTGGCTTCCTCCAGACTTTGAAATTCGTTTTTCCGTTTCTAAATATCACATAATGTGAAGACAATACACTGTGGTTGTCCTGTTTTCCCTGTGAAAATTTGAAGAAAAAGTGATTTTTATACGCTGGATTTTAGTGTTGGGTGCTCCAACTGCCTTCCACCATATGAGCTTGATTGATGTTGGATGGAAGGATAGATTTTAATTCTGATAGGCATACCTGGTTGTCTTTTGCTTATAAACCATAGCTATAATAGCTGTACTTAACTGGACTATGATGTTATTTAATGCCAATATGTTTTATATACTCTACTCATTGAAGTATAATAAATGTCATTAACATATATCCAGGAAGCACAAGGTTATGATGTTTTATAAAACAGGCTTCAAGATCCTTTAAAAAAAGCAAAACCGCTAACAAATTATTTAAAAAAGCTAAATTTAGGAGGCCGTAGAAAACAAAGTTTCAAATCATTGGGCCAGCAGGGCAAGCTTGATGACACTTTTATGGCAGACGGTGAGGAAATATTTAACCTTGCCAATCAATATTGCAGTGGGTCGCCTCTTGTATCCCTCGTTGGCTGCGTGCGCGCAGTCGATCAGGCAGGAAGCTGAAAGACCAAATCCTGTGTAAAATGGAAGCTTGGATAAACAAGGCTCCCCAACCGCCTCTGCCCCAGACCATCATTCCACTGTCAGCTTAGGTCTCCAGAACGTGGCATCAGCGCCGTTAAAAGCACTGCCTGATCTTAATATTTCATACTGCCAGCTCGCATATAATATGACACAGTCTTATGTCTGCTGCTGCAGAGTTCTGACGAAACCGCAAAGTGACCCTGATTCAGGTGTTACTGGAGAAATAATGTGCGAAAGGTACAGTCTGTTAATGTTTTCAAGCATCACTTGTAAACTGATTTATTTCAGGAATGCTATAGACTCCTGAGTCCCGGGCTTTTGTTTGGTCTGCATGTTTTATTTCCGTTAGCTATTTGGGATTAGTAGGACCTCATAATCATAAAAACTAAACATTATTTTTTTGAACAATTAATAGTTTTAAACTAAAAACGATGTCCTTATATGAGGACGTAGGACCTCAGGAGGATGCGTAACATTCTCGTTGTTTCGTTGGTCTGTTGTTGCTGTATGTACCATGCTTTATTGCAGGGTTCTTCAACTCTGGACCTCGATTCCAAATCCAGGCCGTGTTTTCAGTTCTCCCAGGTAGTTAGTTTAATAATTACTGCTTCTGATTGGTCAGAGGCTTCACACCTGACTGACAGGTAAAGGAAGGCTGGAAAACCAGCAGTGCTCGGACCTCGAGGACCGTGAGTTGAATAACCCTGCTTTATTGAATTAATGTTTGCATTTTAAAACTTCCTTGAGTGTGAGAAAGGCGCTATATAAATAAAACTTATTATTATTATTGTTATTATGTGCAAAAATGGGGATGTGGGGGATGTGGGGTGTGAGGAAGTATCTCAGAGGACGCAGCGGTGCAGCACAGATGAGGCCAATTAATTATGGATTCAGATTCATATTTTACCTTTCTTCAAACTCCAATAAATGTGACAATGAAGAAGGGACCTCATTACTTGTCATTTCAAAAACCATGCGTGCAGCTACAGAGAGTGCAGGTCATACGACCAGGGACACAAAAAGAAAATAAAACAGGAACATTGAAATGACAGGTACCCCCCAGGTCCGCCCGCCACCCAATGTACGATTCTCTTTGGGTGATTTGCCAGTTTGGAAGCTCTTTGAGAGACTCGGAAGCATGGTGCGTTTATGCTGCTTTTCCGTATAACATTTAGCATCTGAGCTAGCAGCCACACTTCAGCATGTGGAATTGAGTGTTGCGGTCTCTATCCTTTAGCTAACATTTAACATTTAATTGATTGGAAAATTTTGGCAACTGAGTAGAAGGAGGGCTCCCCTTGGTAGATTTTGCCGATGAGGGGTGGTGGTGGTTGGACTGGAAGTTGTGTCGCGATCGACCGGAAATGTATTGGGGATCTACCTGTCCGGCATGATTGACCAGTTGTTGACCACCACACTAAGTCAAGTGGAGCTTTACTCTGTATCACTCTATACCTGCGTTTTTCCCACAGCATTATGTGTCACATTACAACATAATTCCCCAGAGAGTGACTGTCAGGAGGAGATAATGTCCAAGATGGGACAAAGAGAGAGAGAATGGCTCAAAATACCATAGCCCATTATAACCAATAAAGGTGAAGTCTTCCATGATTGATGGTGATGCCTGCCAGATTACTGTTTCTACACTTTCAATTTCATTTTACAAAATGCTCTGTTCTATCTAAATATATTTCTCTTTAATCTACTGCCAAGAAATATAATGAGATATGGTGGCTGATGATTTCACCTTGTTATCCTGTCACGCCCTAAAGGTTTCTGATATTAAAAAGGGTTATTAATGTAAAGACAAGTGAGCTAATGATTTTTCTTTCCTATAAGAAGGTTTTCCTATTACAGTTGATGCAATCTGACCAAATGAGGGCAGTTAAAACCACAACTGGAATCCAGTGATGTCGTGCAGCGATGATGTCAAAGTTTCTCACTATTTGTAGGTGACACTTTGGGCTAAAAAGGGGTCTACTGAGATATTGCAGTTTCACTAGAAGGGTGCCGTAAACCCAGATGAATCACTGCCTCTTTCCAGATTAATTCTAGTGTAGAGAAACTTTAAAAACAGGAATTTGCTATCAATCTATCTTCCAACCACTTATCCTGGTCATGGTCGCTGGGAATTCCTATTCAGATTTCAAAATTGCTGACCATGTGCTTATGACTTTGCCCTGTGTATGTTCACATCCTACTGCCGCTGTGAAGAACTAGCTTTGTGATGCATCAGCCTGTTTCATCCCCAGACTAAACATCAAAATTAGAAACAGATGATTAGAATAGATTAGAGGCCAATGTTTTTATTGGGATAAAAGGAGGGTGACACGCTTATTGCCGGAATTCCAGGATAACCAGAGCCTAATTGGCATATCGATGCATGTTGCTGAGGCGTAGGTTGTAGCTCTGTGTTTTTTTGTCCTGCAAGGTTGTAGTTTGCTATTACATTAACAGCTGACACTTTGATCCAAAACAGCTTGCAATTTCACCCACTTCAATTGCTGGATAATTACTGGAGTCGCTCGATTTATGTGCCCTGCTCAAAGGTACAGCAGCCTTCTCAGAAGTGACCCTGCAACCCCCAGCTTATGAACCCCTGTCTTTACCCACAGCGCTACCTGCTCACCAGCTGTTTCCCCATGCTGGTTTTACTGGGACTTTTACAAAGGCTGGACAATGTTATACGGAGTGCCTTAGTTCTCATTTCTAACTAAAGAGGCCCTTCCTTTCCTTATAAATGTAGTTGCATGTTTTACAGGAGCAAGACATTTTACAGATTTCTCTCTTAATTGTTTTCAGTTACAAGATATCCTTGAAAGATGTGTGTCTTTCTCAGTCGACCTATCTGTATGATGCAAATCATGAATATGTGGATCTATGTAACATAAATTGAATTTTAATCTGGATTTGAACAATCCCAAATTTATAATTCTACAATACTAGTTGTAGGAGGGTTTATCAGACTACACTAACAAATAAATCCTATTTGTTTTGAGTACTTGCAGAAATTCATGTAGGATTTGTACTAATTGTATGTCTGTCTCTTCATAATCCACATAGTGATGTAATGCATTAGGAGTAGTTGAAGCTTCTTGTGCAGAAGGTTTTTGTGAGCTTGTATTGTGCGGAATTTGTGTACAAATGCTGCGTGAATGTGTACCATGAGGACAGCAATGACTGGCTTTTTGTATCCTGGCTGTCGATGAGACCCATCGCTGACAGATGAATCTGCCGCGAGGATGTGCCAAGGGCAGATGTCAAACGTGAATCCTGGGTTCTGAAGCAGGGGCAAGTTCTCACAATTCAGGCAGCGAAGGAAAAAAAAAACAAAAAACGCACACACATGAACTTCTGGCTAGAACTCAGTGTAATTCCTGCTACCGTTGAAGTGCACTGGAAACTCTTTCAACTTCTTCATTTTTAGAGCGTATCTGGATTAACGCATCTTAATGGTGCAGCAAATACATGCATATGGCATCTCTAATAGTCCAGTCAGACAGTTATACATATGAATTGAAGAGCAAATTTCCAAAACACACTCAATCATTTTATTATCTACAGAGATGAGAATGTCAAGTTTACTCATAATATATTACATTATTGGGAACCAAAACTCACTCAGTGCTCATGTAATCAAAAGAAGAACTTTTGTTAAATTTCCAAAACTCACCAAACCTAATGAGTACTTACTTACGAACATATCCCCTCTACATATCCCGTAGACTGAGTGAGTTTCAAAAATTAGCTCTTCAATTCCTAATGTCATCTACCTCCAAGTACAACAGCTGGCTCCAGTTATTACAGATATTGACACTATTCTACTGAACATAGCATTAAAACAACAAACGCATGTTCTTCAGTTTGCTGACTCATGACAGTAGGCATGTATCAGCTGTCAACCCTTTAACTACTGGAAACCAGAATTTAACGAGGTACACTGTCCCAGTTTAAGTTACTTTCATGTCGGAGGTTGCAATCAATCAAAACCATTATTCCACATGTGGCAATTAAAATTAACATTACATTTACAATGTTATATACAATATGGGTCTGAAAATGTCATTCACCAACAAGCCAGATTCATCAGCACCCAGCCTGACGACAGTAAACTTTGTAGGAAAGCAATATTCTTCGTTTGCAGTCTTTATTAAGACTTTTGTTTTATTATTATGACCATTTTAGAATCCCATTTATATTTAACATTTAATATCGTTTACAAATATTAAGTGACTCACAAAAATAAAATAACTTATTAAACTTAACATTACATTTATACATTAATAAATTGCATTTCGCAGCATCAAATCTCCGACGCTTCAGTCCAGTTTAATACGTGTGCAAACTATTCAGCTGCAGCCCAATGAAAATTTGAAGACAAGACACCGATGCTCCCTTATCTGGGCCAAAATGAATGTATGTTTACTTCATGCAATAGCTTGCAACTCCCAGCCCCTGATATTATGCTTGTTATTCCCTTGATGGGGTCGTACAGGACTATGAGTTTCTTCACGGCACATTTACAGTACGGTGATTCCTTTTCGGCATTGGCGTGCGACTGTAAATACGTCCAACGATGTATACCGTAATCTAGCAATGTTCTTGTCGTTCATTGAGGCGGACTGGCAGTGCATCGATAATTGTCAAAAGTATCTGAAGATGAACGCTGTACATTGAGAAGCCAAAGTGGCAAAACACACAAGAGGTGGGGGAACTGGAAAAGCATCGTCTGACAGTTGCAATGCCTCTTCTTCGATTTGGCGTTCTCTTCATGTACCAGACCGTACAGTCGCTTCGTAAAGACCGTCTACACTCAAATTGATGCAACACACAGAAAAAAAAATCAAGCCATATTTAAATACTAATGAGTGCTCACTTATAATGTGACCATTTTAATTAAATTAATTTAAAATACTTCCAGGAAACAAAATGCAGTGCAGGTTGAAAACAATCAATCAGAAGCTACAGGAATCACTTCGATGGTATGGACGACACGCCTGGCACTCGTTATGATTCCAGTCGTCTTCCCGCTTCTGTCTGTAGTGAGGGGAAGAGGCATCCAGCAGTCCTTGTCTGTCTGTGAGTTTTTTTTTTCACTGTGGCTCATTTGCAGACGCTAACCCATTCGGTTATCCTGCATTCCTCGCACACCACGTAGCAGCACCAGTGAAACCTGCAGTTGCATCGCTCACTGCGCGTCTGCTGCAGGATGTTGTGTCCCCGGCCGCAGCACAGGCTCTCACAGTTGTCCATCTCCAGGCTGGTCTTGTTGCAGATCCGCCCATGAGTGCCTGCTGAGTCAGCGCCCGGTTCCCTCTCGCAGAAGTCGGGTGACTTCTCGAAGTAGACCAGCTCGTTGGGCCCGGGCCGCCGCCGGTAAGATGGGTGGGCGTGCTCCACTTGGCCTGTGTTACGGTTGTGTGCCTTGATGAGGGAGGCCACCTGGAAACGCTCCTTCAGGATGGTGCCCACTGTGCGGAACTCGGGCGTCACCTGCCAGCACGTCTTCAACTGGCAGCTGCCTGACATACCGTGGCATTTACACTTACGCTTCATATGGTCCATCACAACCTGTGCGGAGGGACAAAGGGGGAGAAGAGAGTTGGACAGAGGACAGTCAGACACTCTACTCAACGTGAAACCTCCATTGTACTCACAGGTCGATCCCACTAGACTTTGCTCAGTCAACATTCTCAAAAAAAAAAAAATCAATAAGGTGTGAAATCTGCAGCTAAAACTCTCTCAAAATTCCATCCAGAAAGTCAGAACTCCATCTTGCTGCTCTAAAGAAGCCTCCCATAGTCGCTGCAATGGATGTGTCTACCAGCCTGAAGCCTGTCTTAGATCCAGTTACAGAACGGGAAAGTCTGCCCATAGCCATGACGAGTCTTTGTACATCGATTCCGATCAGCACAGCAGGTCCATACATTCCCCTTCAATACGGCTAATCTTTCAAAGTCCCCTCTAAATCAAACCAAACTGAGTCATGGCCAACAGTTACAGTGTGATGAAGTTTTCAAACCAGCATTGGGCTACCACATATACCGCTTTGCACTCTCCCACAGCCTTTAATCGCTTTAGTGAAATACTATTATGATAGGATTCAAGTTCCTAAATCAGTTACTAATGGAAATGTAACCTAAAATAATGTAGACACGGTAGACCTCCGTGGAGGAGAGATCTCCTTTCTTGTCTTGCATCATCCCTACACAACCAGACAAATCTAGAGAATTTATCATAAGAGATTCCAGTTAATCGCAATGACTTAATTTAAAGACACTAATCCACCAAAATGGCTTTTAAACATGGTTGGACACTGGAGATCCTGGAGGAAACCTGTGTAGACAGAACCTTTGATGGCATGCCTTATATTAGAACAGGCCCAGGAAAATACATCTGTCTGACAAAGCAACAGGTTGAGGACTTGTCTGTTACCGCTGAAGCAACCAGAGGTCAGATCTCATAGACTAACAAGTTCCTTCTGTCTTGGCGTGAACCCAGAACAGACGCCAAGGTAATATGAGTGTAGAACGGGCCAAACATGCATGAAGATGAATATTCTGGGTTACAAACATAATATTTAATACTAATTATCGTTCCAAGTAGTCACTAGCACTCCCTAAACCCAACCACTTCTTTGCAACAATGAGAAATGCATTTCGTGAACACCATCATAAAGCCATTGCCCTGGAACATTTGAGCATTTGCACAAATGTCACACAAGTCTACGCCTTCACTTCCTGTCTGCATTTTATGAAAGTATGCAGCAGCATCAGTGATACACACACGGTGCAGACCAATATTAGATAAAACTGCTTTTTGAGATTTCTAACCATGTGGCCATTAATTTGGTGGAAAAACGCAGGCATGTTTTGAAGTAATTATAGTAAATCTCTTGGTGTCAGAGCTGTCCTGAGTTCACATCTGGCAGGTTGTAATTGGAAAACAGTGGAACAGCCTCGTCTGTAAACTGGCACCAGACTGAGATCAAATACAATGTACTCATGACACATTAAGACGACGGGAAACTCAAGACTGCATTTCATAATGAGTTTTAGCGTTACATCTACTGCTCTATGACCTGTACTATGCTACAAACTTCAAAATAAAAATAAAAAATCATACATTACTTGCAATAGTAACTGAACCCAAAAATTACATTTGTTTAATCTCAGACTACAGAGTTGCTTGAGTCATTTGTTTGCATTCATAAACACAATTAAAATATTTCAAAGTCTTTAAAACTTTACATTTTAGGACATTGTGATATTCCTGCCACAGGACATTATAAAATATCTCCTAATAGTTGCAATATGTGTGTAACAGAATCTCACTCAACCCGTCTTTATAAATAAGCATTTTGCTGGTTTGTTCAGCAAGTTTTTTTTTTTAATTCTTAAACTTCAAAGGCCTATTTTAATGCAAAAACAGTTAAAAGTCTTCAAAAGACCCAGTTTCAAAGCAAATAAACAGGCCGGCTTCAGCATTATAAGCAGCATTTAAGTCTCTGCGTTGCTCCAGCAAAGCATGCAGCACACGAGAGCATGCGGTTAACTAGGAGCATGCAATTACAGAAGCTGTAGCACGCTGCACACTGAGAACCCACTCACCAAGGAATTAAAGCTCAATTAAACCTAGCTCATAGACTTCATTTGTTTTTTGTGCAGTTACTCTCAATGTGCTAGACTTAGACTGTCTACTTGCTCAAAAGCCATTAAAAGCACTCTACCTCTGGACAGGAAATGAACACTACATGCTCAGATTCTGCTTCCTGGTCAGAGGGTACATACAGTAATATTCTGTTTCTGGGCAGCGGGCAAAAGAATAGAACCTTAGATTCTGACATGATTATCAACTTAATTGGCCACAAGGAAGTCTGAGGTGTTTATCTAATACATTTAGAATATTTTATAAATATTAGGTGCTGTCAAGTTAATGTCAACTCTTAGTGACCAAATAGATGGCACTCTTCCAATCTTTCAACATTCTGTCTTGAGTTTGGCTTTTAAAGTGCTTGTCATAGAGGTCCTTTAAAGTGTTCCTAGAATCCCAATTAAATAACATTCACAATGTAACCTAAATGCAACAGCACTGTAAATTCCACTAAAAGTATCACTCACAAATAACCATCAAGACCATCCAATTCTGGTGACATAAAAGGCACAGTGGTTGGGATTATCATCAATCACTGCCTGGTTTAAGCTAATGGAAGCCAACAGAGCAGCCACTAAGGTGAGGCTTGATATGGATGCCGACTGATGACATGCAATAAACTTTGTAACCTCATCGCTCCCAGCACTACTTGTATACGCCATCCGCGAACATCTATTGCGACACAAACTTTGTTGCATCAAACACTACAGTCCAAAGTCATATCATCTTCAACCACAGTCAAAGCTACTTTAGCAAAACACGTTTGTAATTATAAAAAGCAAAAAGTTCACATTCACCTCTAACTTTAGGAAGTTGCAGTTCTTGAATCATTCTTGCAAATTAATTTTTGGCCTATTGCTGATCAAATCTTGGCGGTGCTTAACGCAAAGCGACAGATGGCATTTTCAGAGCACAGACAAGCTAGCACGGCCTGCAAATGCTTTAGCTAGTCAGTGATGACCGAGCTTGGAGAATTTACTTCATTCAAACATTAAAGCTAATGTCTCTTACATGCAAGTACACAGCGTGAAGGATACCCACTGCTTGTTTACTTTCGATTTATCTATCTAGCATAAATTACTGTTACGCTATTTTGCAGCATGAGGTAGGCCAGGGAATTCTAACATGTGAGGCGTGTTGTTGTTCTACATATAAATGCAAACAGACACACGCAAAAACACACACAGTACAATACGTGATAACTTACGCTCCTTGCCTAAACTCTATGGACCCGTCTGACTTATTCGTTGCCTCTTCTCCTCCATCGTAACCTTTTGAGAAAGGCGGGGAGACTCTCTTTCTACATTCCGCCGTGTTTGATGTCCCAAATCTTCTGCTGGCTTTAAAAACATCTGTTTCCATACAGCCAGGAGCTACTAATTAGAGCTTTTAACAAGACTGAACACCGTCAGAAACAGAAGGTGGGCATGACATGACATGTATTCGGCATTAAAAACCTTCACATTCCCCTATAAAAGGGGACTTTTCCAGTGGCCATGTGCTCTTTCAGACCTCACCTTTTTGTTGTTATTTTTATTGGGGGTGGGGGGTGAGGTTTGTATACTGTCTCTAAAGCTACAGCGCTGCATCACTTGCATGTTGATTATTTTAATATCCTCCTCACACCCCCCGCCCCCTCCCCGCAGAAACTTTAATCCCTTTCTGACATTATGGGAGTCATTTCACACTCATACGATCCACGAAGCAACCGGTCTCATATGGTCTCGTATGATCTGTGTAGCAACAGTTCAAGATGACGAGGAACCTGATACTGTACAGAGCCACTAAATATGCAAATCCTGCAGAGATCTGAGGGACACTGGCTGCGGGGGTTAATTGTCATAGTGTCAGAAAACCTGTAAGTCAATGTGGATGGTGACAGAAAGAAAAATGAATACTAATATAAGATGTTCTTACAACTGCCGAGCAATGATAGGGTTCCTGTCCACCCACGCAGCCTGACAAACTGATGAGTCAACTTCATTATTAGGCCTAAAAGACCATTTATTATGCATATGAGGTTTTATGGATGGCTTTGTAACTCATTAGTTAAAATTAAACCCATATCAACTATTGAAAATCTTAATTTCTTGCAGAAAAGCATGTGGTGGTTTATGAAGGAACAGAAAAAGCACAGGATATTAAATATTAATTGCATTATGTGTCTTGAGTCAAGTCATGCTAACTAGTAAAAAGAGGATTGTTGAATGTGGGTACTCTCATCGTGGGTATTGAGACCTGCCTGATGCACACATCAAACTTCATGGCCCATTAATTCACTTTAGAGAACTCGGCATGGCTGAAGAGAACCGTTGTTGGGGTATTTTGTCTTGTGCAATCAAGTGCTGATCGCTATCATTAGGGCTACAGCCTTATGGAGAACAGATAATACAAGTTCCATTAGGTGCATATCAAGTGTTATGATTTTCAAAAGAATAATAAATATTTTCTGATATGCCTGGATTATCGTTTGGTAAACTAGCGCTGCACTACTGTGCTGGGGTGCTACAAAAGTACGTTAATTCTCACAGTTCGGTCTTCTTTTTTCCGATGAATTGGTTGAAGGAATGACAAAAAAATGCTTCAAGTAGCATGCTGGTGACGTACGTTGTGGGCTGGGAGGGACCTTGAAAGTCCCTCTGAAAAGAATGCTTGTGTCTTCGATTCAGCGGCATGAACTCTTTGAACATCCCATATCTCAGAGGTGAAAGAGATACGGAACAAAGATCCGCACGTCAAAGACGCGTGTTTACGTGCAAGTGTTTCGGCACAATGGCCTCCGTGAGACAGAAAACGAGGCAATCCCTTTCGGCTCATAAATAAGTTAAATTGAGCAGGCCTAAACTGTGAGCGCATATCCACTCAAGCAAACAAAGCCTTGACTTCCACAAGCATATCATGTAGCTATCTGATCGAAACTTCAATGACTTTGAAACTACACTGCATAAGGTGAATTCATGTCTTTTGGGTTTGCATAAAATCTATTTTAGGCCTGTCAAAATCAGCCATGGTTTTATGAGTTTTAGGGGCAGATGTTTCCGGAAGTCTTACTGCTCACGCTCAGACTCGGGCTTTGCCTAAATCTCAATGGCTTAAAGCATCATCTCACCTGCCTTCCGACTCTGTTGTTGTGCAGCCGCATCTTGGCGTGGATGTCCTTGTGTCTCTCACGGGAGTCCAAGAAGTCCCGAGAGAACTTTTCACCAAACTCCACATTGGGGCTGCAGCCACCCCACTCCCAGGATTCCTGGGGCCCTGGGGAGTCATTGGGGAAGTGCTCCATCACCCCGTGCACCATGCCTTTCCCTCGGTGGACGGCCTCCAGCTGCAGGCGGTTCAGCTTGATCCGAAAGGCCTCCTCGTCCCCCCGCCGCTTCTCGTCGCAGCTGCATGCCTTCAGCTTGCCCATGGCACAGGCGTTGGAGACGGCGTGGACCACGCCAGCCGCCGTGATGGCGTACGCAAAGGCGCTCTCTCTGAATCCTAAGCCGGGGGAGGGAGGGAGGGAGTGGATCAGTGAGGTGTTTCAGATACATTAGCAAAGCTCTTCCCTGTTTTCATATTCTCTCACTGCCCTGGAAACCAAACAGACTATTACCTGACACCAAAAGAAGGTGGGTGTCACGTGTGTCATTGATTGTCAAATGCTCCTAAGAAAGGAGGACCTTGAGAATGTGGACAAAATAACAAAAACACTGAAAAATATACTTATATCAAGGAAAGAATCAGTCCTTCTTGGCTTGATTTCCAGAATTCCTGAGCCTTTCCTTGTGTAGTGGGATATTGGGCCATTAGAAGAAAAGCCCCCAGCCCTTTGAGGGATGATGGGGGTGGGAATGGACCATGCACTCTGTGTTCCATGACATCCCATAAAGGTTCAAGGATGTTTAGGCACAGTGACTGAGGAAGCCATGGAAATCACTTGACTTTTATTCCAGCTCCAGCCTTCTACTCGTCATCCTTTCAAACATCAGTCAGTGAGTTAAATTGGACTGTAGCGCACACAAAAGGCCAGGGGATCATCATTGTCCTCTCAGTTTGCTTTCCTGCTGCTGATAGGTGTTACTGTATGTACGTCGGAACATTCTCTCTATCAACTAGTCTACCTCTCATGGACATTTTGGCTTACATCATCAATCCGGCCCTTACATCCAATCATCTGGGCCTGTTTTGCCCAATAAAAAAAGTTTGTTTTGCTGATATGATGAAACCAGAGGTTTCAGAACCATACAGAAAGACCACAGCCATTTCCGTTCACCCTTGACAAAATCTATAACAATATGCGCACAATTTATTGGATAATGATTAATACAGACCTATAAAATAGGCAAAACATTGAATTTTACTTCCGCTATTTCAGAAGTCAAAAACAGATAGAGGTGGCTGTGTTCTGCAACATCTTAATCAGATAGCCTCGAACAATAATAAAAGTAATAGCCTCAGAAAATAATAAACTCAGGTCCTATAAAAGCAGGTCTCCTCAGGGTGCTCCGTGACCACATTCAAGGAATGATGAAGTGTTAAAGAGCTGTGCTCAGTTAATTTGAAAAAGCCCTCACACAGAATAAGTGTTTGCAGTTGGTAATGTTTATGCAATTAGGGAGGAAAAGGAGCTTGATCTAAACTCCATAGCTTTATGTAGGACATACACTCATTGGCCAGTTTAATGGGTACACCTGCTGGCTAATGCAAGCTGCCTTCTCCTTTAAACAGTGAATGAATTTGCAAGATCTGAATATACACCACAAAGGAAAAGGGTCAGGGGTTTCAGTTACTGTGCAGCTAAACTTACCAAAGGCTCAGACGTGTGATCTGAGTGATTTCAAATCTGGTGTGATTGTTGGTGCTGGACATGGTGATTCTAGAATCTCCGAAATGGGGGTTTTCCTAGATTTCTTATGTAGTAAAGTGTTGAGAGTTTACAGAAAATGTCACGATAAACAAAAATAATGCAGTCAGTGACAGTTCTATTGCCAAAACACAGTGTTAATGAGAGAGGTCAGAGGAGACCAGACTCATAAAGCTAACAGGATGTGCAAAACAGCATAATACAGCACTGGTGTGCAGAAAGGCATCTCCAAATATGAAACTCATCAACCCTTGAAATGGTTATGGAGATGAAAGAGGCTCCTACCTGCACTACATAGTGGTACCTAATAAAATGGCCCCTCAGTATACATGAAATTTACATTGTGCATAAATCACGTGAGAAAACATACTTTAGAACATAAATGAGTTAATAACACAGTAAAGGAGAATTGCATTATTTAACATTGCATCCTTCACTGACTGTACAGAATATATAAGTGCATTTATCACAGCATTTAACATTAATTTGATCTGGAATGAAGATGGATTAAAGATCCGGTAAAACTAAATTTAGAAAAGAATCACGTTGATTGTGACTAATTCTAATATCTTTAAATTATTTTCAAGATGTATGATATTTTAAATATTCATGTACATATGTTCCAAAGTTAAATTTAGAGTCAGTCACTTTACTGTAAAGAATTAACATTTCTTTCTTTTTTTATGTTTCTTGGGAGTATAGAGATCAGATGCACGCATGATGTCTTTTAACGCTGTGGAATGTCTACTGTTGTATCTCTGCATGCAGAACTAACAAGCAAAATGCACTGTAATCCAGCTAGCAAATAGATAAACAAATAAATAAACAATTTACTACTTGATAGATTTTCCATTGATGTTCTTTTGCATTTAGTTAATCATGGCAGTTTTAAAACACAATCTACTTTGGTTTTAAGATGAATCCTATTGAATTTTTCTTTTCATCTATCAAGACTGACAGTAATTTTATAGTCTGGCTGTTATAGGGAGTCATGAATCATCCATGGCCATGCATTGTTGGGAAATGACCCGGACAGTAAATACTAACTGGCCAATTGGGAGTCTTCCTGTTTGACCTCTGAATGCAGCTTCATGTAACGTCTGATTTCCCTTGCCTACCATGGAGAAAAGTGCAGATGGCCAGTCCTTTAGCTGTTTAAATTAAAAATGAAATTATGTGATTGAATTTGAACTGGAACTGACTGAAAATGATTCGGTGAACCAGTCATGAGGACAGAACAACTTTTGGATTAAACTGGGATCAAAAACAGTTAATATATACAGAACTGAAATCCTCACAACACCCAGCTTGCCTTCTCTAACAGAAACTTACTTCCAGACATACACAAAAATATGATACTGGCTAGGTATGGGCACCCCTAGTGTGGAGAAAAGCACTCGTTTCTGGACTAGGGTGAGCTTTGTACATGCACACACACACACACACACATACTCACACATACATCGGGAAGCCAATCCTGTTTTATTCCATCCCCTTCTAATTCCATGGGGGGTGGATGGCACTTAAAAGCAGCCTAGAGACATAGACATGGAAAGGCTGTTTTAGACAAGAGGAGCCTGGAACAAATCAATCTAACAAATAATTTAAAGTGAGAGACACGCCCGGGTGAGCTGATGGCCAAGGGAGTGGGAAAACGAATTAAAGATTGAAGAAAACTGTCACTTTGGGTTACAGAAACCAACTAAACTGGTTTTTTATGCTTTGCACCTCTGAGAGTTGGGAAAGTGCTGAAAGCGAATTCACAACAGTCATGCTGGCAGAAAGTGGGGAAATCAGACAGCAGAGGAGAAACTCCATGGATGCGTCTGAAGACCCCTGCAGCTGTAGGAACGTGGCCCAGTAAACCTGCCTGTTTTTGGACATAATTATTGACCGCACTGCTCAGGGCAAGTCCATAGTAATCGGACGGGAGGGTATAGCTTTCATCACGCGGAATACAGACAGTTAATCCCCGCAAATAAAGAAAATATTAGGGCACAACTTGCACGCCTGCTCCACAATCACACAGGAATATCTTTTTTAATTTATCAGTTTCTTTCCAACAAAGACAAGCAAATCAGCAACAACAGGTTCTCCTTGTTTCTAATCAAAATCTTTCCAGCACATATGAGTGTTAGTAAAACACAGGATCCTTTGGATATGTGGTAATATTTAATCACTACAAGCATGATTCTTATTACTGCTATTACACTAATGGCATTATAATAGCTGCTAAGCAAATATATTATCTATAATGAATTAGAGCAACAGGTGCATACTTAAAGAAGGAACACATCTTTTTCTTAAAGGTACAACAGAAAGATTCCTATTGGATTTAAACCACTGGGCTTAGAGTCATTGACTACTACATAAACCTTCTACCTGAGAAGGTTCCTCCTGGGCTCCGTCCTCGCTTCTCACCTCGGCTGAACATGACGCTGTCGTAGGGGATCTTGTTCCTGGTTTCCAGGCTGGAGCAGTTCCAGCGATGGCCACGGAACTGGTGCTGGCACTCGTGGATAGCGATCTGGATGCCCTGGATGGCTGAGGCCGTGACGTCGGGATTTCGCATGCACACGTCCAGTTGTTGCCGGGTCAGGCCCGAGAGGGTCAGGCACACGGTGTTGGCATTCAGAATTGGATCTATCGGGATCTTCAGTCCCAGAATCTCATTGGAATCTACCCTACAACACAGAGGAACGGAACCTTAATGCCCTTTGAGTTGACATCAGCGTTCTCCACAGAAAGTCAAGCAGAAAGATCAAAATGTGATGCAGCTGGAGAGAACATAATTACAAGTGAAGTGAAACATCATATGCTGGCTACAAGTAATAACGTGTTATTACACGTCATAGCTGTAATAAGTTATGACATTTTATCTTTACGAAACATTGAAGAATTCAAATTTATAAAAGTATTATTAAGTCTTTAGCTAGTTACTGGGTCTAACGTCATTACAGCATATGGAAATATTTATATACTCCTTATTATCAATGATTGATATGTAAATATACACATAAGTCTTCCTTTCCAAGACTGAGAAATACTTATGAATTGGAACGCAGTCTCAGAGCAATATTATATTTGCAATTAACAATGTCCATTGATTCGTTCGTTGAGCCTGTTTTCTCAGTTTAAAACATCTTGGATCCTTTTAATAAGATTATTAACCGGGAGAAACTCTATTAATTGCATGCATTATGCATTAAAACAATAATAAAAAAAATCTATTAATCTATTAATATTAGTCAGAGTAAAAATAAACATCAAAAGAGCACATTAACCAAAATTATCCCAGCGCGGGCAGGTATGTTATTACGTATTCAATACAGTCAAATGCTGCCAAACCTATTAAATAGTTTAAAGAGTTCCACAACTACTGCAGAACAGAAAAAGAATACTAGAAAATACGCAGTAGCTCTCATATGTTAACATCCAGTGCAAATGTAGACTGAATCATCAATTGACTAGGAGAAATAAGCGCAAAAAGGTGGACTACAACTTTGACAGTTTCAAAATAAAGCTCGCATAGCATTGGACTGCTTGTACAGTTGCAGACTTCCTGTTAGCACACGTATCGTGTATGAAAAGTAAATGCGCGGAAATAAAAGCCATTTCAGTCATGAACTTACCACTGTGAAAGGAAACCTACTAGCAGTGCTAAATACAGCATTGGGAAATCCATGACTCGCTGTTTCGGATACCCCAAGGGTCTTGGAGGAGATGTCCTAATCTCTTCTGGGTAAGATGACAAGCTCTTAAAGGAAAAAAAATCAGCAAAACTTTCCCTCCTAAGAATAAGTTCCCAGTAACAGAGAGTGAGAGGCGAGATCCAGTTCAATTCACAGAGTACTACGCGTAAGTGTCATTGAAACTATAAGAAGCTGCCGGACGACTGACTTTAAGAGGAAGACGCCGCAAAAGTTTCTATCAGATATGAGCGACTTCTTAGAGCCAGCGTAGTACATTGGACTTATGAAATGAAACAGAATGAATGAAAAGCGGCACTCTGGCTGCCCTGTGATATTCACACGTGTGGCTCCTATCCGAAGTGATTTTGGTTTTAGACCCACAGCGCTCTCTCGATCTCCAGCCAAGCCGACTTGTGATGTTTTGCCTGTCCTGATGGCATTGTAACTACACCTCTGAGAAGTCTGCCAGCCCACTGATGCGTCACACGACAGTAAACATAGAGGAACATGTTCTTTGAAACAACACATCGACAGCTCTCCATAACCTATTCAACTGATATATATGTACATATATATATACATATATATATATATACACACACACAAACACACATATATGTCATGTTGGTTACTCCTTACATTAAAAACGCAGTCCCCTAATTTATGGATATCATTTTACAAGCGGCATAATTCAGTTTGATTCAAGTGATTTTTTTTTATTTCCTGAATTGAGATATTGACCATCCAAACAAACGCTGCGTTAATGTGAGGTTTATGCTTGTGAATATGAATCATGCATGATATATCTTGTCATTGGACTATAAGTTTAGATTAAATTAACTTTACTTATCACAGGGGGAAATTCCTGAAATACGTATATGATTTATATAATTAATAAGATCTTAATATAATTTGTTAAAGTGAAATCAGTTTGAAATAAGATTGAAAAAAATATATATCTCTGTCCATTTCTACTTTTAATGCATAAAAATGCGAAATAAAGAAGGACTATATTAATAATTTATTTGATATAAAAAAAAATGTTGACCATAGATCATATGTTAAAACTTCTGAGTACATGCACCAAAATTCATAGGGGTGTACATAATTACTGCACAGTGTGTGTATATATCATACATCATTATCATAAAAAACACGAAAGGGACACGAAATTTCTCTAAGCAAAAATAACTGTTTCCTCGGTGGCCACACGAGACGCGCAGTTACATGCACCGTATCGAAGTTATTGAGGTGCAGACTGTTCACATTGCAGACCGTTTTCCAGGCACCCACACAGCTCATATTTACATAGATTATGTGGCCAACAATACAGGGCTTGTGTGTTCCTTCAACATTTCTGCTCTCACTCTACAACAATCCAACTAATAATCAACGTAAAACATCCCAGACACTCGCAGCTACACAATCGCGCAATGCAGCAGACCCGCATTTGCGCGCGCGTCCCATTAAAACTCGGTATTGCGACATTCTCGTGTGTCTGCTGCTGTATGCCAGCAAAGCAGAGCGGGTTCATTAGTGTTGCTGTGCTGCATACATCATTGAAGCCTGCTGCCAGTTACGTTGATGTATGTTTAATATCTCCATGCATTGCGCGTGCCTATGGAGGCAATCCGACTTACAGATCCGGGGTTGACATCCAGGGTTCAAAGTAAGCCCTGCAAAGGATCCATACAACGTTTACTCACCATCCAATAATTTCCTCCCGTATTCCAAAAATGTACTTTTCAGCTGAATTTATGACTTTGAACATTCTGTATGTGTGTGTGTGTGCTTGTGTGTGTGGGTTATGTATATATTACATTGTGGAGACCAAATATCCCCACAATGCGATAAAAAAACTTTTATTTTTACATTGTGGGGATCATTTATTTGGTCCCCACAAGAGAATCTGACTTCAGTACAAATCTTGTGTTGTTTTTTTGTTGGTTACATGTGGTTAAAGTTAAGGCTGGGTAGGGGCTTAGGTTGTCATTGTTGGGATTAGGTGTTTTCTCATAGAAATGAATGGACAGTCCCCACAATGGTATGAATGCAAATGTGTGTGTGTGTGTGTGTGTGTGTGTGTGTATTTCTGAATGCAGCGGTTTTCAATGATGGAGAAGCCTATGCCACATCACAGGTGAACCATAAATTTGACTGTGCTTCGCTGATATTAATGCATATGGTATATATACATGTTAGCAGCAAGGGTGAAATTGGGGGGGAGGGGAACCCTGGGCCTTGTAATTTACGGGGCCCCCTGCCACTCCAAACCATCTATATAACAATTTTGGTTAAGATGTAATCATCTATACTAATACAAAATATCTTAAATTTAGCTGATCGATTTTCCAGCGCAAGCCCCCCTCTCCCTCTGATCGGAGATCTTTTTCCAATAGCGCTCTCGCCCCCACCCTGATTGCTACAGTAAGTGCTACTGGCACTCCTTGCTTTGCTTAATATATTGATGTTCCATCATTCTTAATTTCCTCTTGTTTCTCCTTGGGCTCCAAAAATTGCTCCAATGGCTCACTTTTCCGGGGGCCCTAGGCTGGTATGGGGGGGGGGGGGGGGCCCTAAGTTAGTCCACCCCTGGTTAGCAGTGATCAGGGGCACAGTCAGGGAATGGACACCCCGGCAGATTCTGGGGGCCGTTGAATGCAAAAAATTGGATGATGGGGCCTAGAATTTCTCGGTGTGGCCCTGGCAGTCAGTATAAACACCTTGTCTTAATATCAGTTGAGGCTTTACCATTCTGTTATGTTCTTTATATAGAATTTCCAGCTTGAAAAGTCACAAGCTCGTCTAATATGTGTCTTTGGCTTCCGGCCACAGAGGAAATCAGAGCTCCAGCTGATAAACTTCTCACCACTTGTACGAGTCCCGCACCTGAGCATGTTGAGAAGCGTAGACAGGACCGGACTGCTGCATGCTGTCCTATTCGCTACCTGTGAGGTCATGTGACCACCCATCTGGGGAATAACTGAGCGACCAGGAAGCTCTGGCAGGCAATGTGTGCTCTGACAAGTCAACCAGGTTGAAATCATTTCAGCGGACATTTTTTGCACAACAAATCCATGAAAACGCATAAATATGGTCTCCATCAAGAGTGCGGGATGTTGCCAGAGATCTATAACTAAGGCTCTAATACAAAGTGATGTTAATTTTCCCCATTGTTCTTAGGGGATTTATCCTCTGGACATACTGCAACATAGCCAATTATAATGGAAACAATACTTCTGTTTAATTTAGGCTGCTGCCATTGTTGTTTTCTAACCTGCCCATTTACACTTTAATTTCTTCATTGAAGGAGAAATACTCTTATAACCTATATGTGTCATTATGACAACATTGTACCTTTGCATCTCGAAAAGAAGATAATTCCAATGCATCTGTTTTTTTTTCCATTTTTCCCTGTTACTAATTTGGATTTTTTTAATTGTTTCATGTAATGTCTCAGTCACCTTAAGTTTTATAGGATTAATGGATGGCGGACATTTCAGCTTCCTGTCTGGGGGAAAAAAAACACCTTTTCAGACCAAAATTACAATGGCCTTGGGCTGAAAATTCCTTGGGGTGGCTCCACTAATGAAAGACATTCTTTTGGCAAGTTCTGTGCTTTCCAGAAATTATATAGCTTTAGTTTGACAATTTGTTTCATAATTAAATTCCATACCACTGGACTGGAACCACTGTTTTTCGTGTTCTTTTTTTCTTGAAGTACCTATTACCAATGACATCTGATTATCACGTCAAGGTACCGCAAAACAGATTACGTGAGAAGCCCAGATCAGTAAGGTAGACTCCTGAAAGATAACAGGTGCAAAATATTATCATGTTGTCATAGCTGTGTGATGCTTAAATAAAACAGACTCTATAGACAAACAAAGTCTTAATCGAGGATAAATTAATAAAACATCTTGCAGATTATTTTCATAAGGTTTTGGTAAGCAGATTTGTTTTATTTTATTTGTTTCACTAAGAGATTGTTCTGAGATTTTCTGAATTTAACTGCAATTATTTCAATGTTAGTGCAGCAAATAAGTCAAAACAAAATTAATAATCAGGTCTGGTTTATAATCTGATGACAATTCAGGCACTGTCAGAATTACTGACAAATGAACAATCCGCCATTCCCGCTATTCTCCTATAATTTTTAATATATATGGAGAGAATTCTTTATTGTCAAAAAAAATTTTGGGGGCCTTTATATAAATAAATAGCACTGGATAACACTGGACTCCCAAGAACAAAAGTATGTGATAGATTGTCAGGCTGGTTACAGGTGCATTTGCATTTTGGAGAATGTGTATTTCATATTATTTGCGATTTTTAGTGAGGAACGAGAGGAGTGCAGCAAAGGCTAAGTAAGAATATTGCTATAACGTAGAAAAACCTGTAATAAGCAAATATACAACTTCGTTGTAGAGTTGAATTTACTGAGGCAGTAAATTTGCTTAAAAAGGCTGTGAGTGTTCCAGAAACATGTAGAATCTCTTGGTAGGAGATTTTTATTATACGATGATGGAAAGAAGCGTGAATGTGTTCATTTGTGACTATGCCTTTTCAGTGTAGCACACCAAAGAGTAAGAAACCTTTTCTTCACCTCAATGAGTCACATAAGGTCAACAGTCATTCACCCTCTCGGGGATCATAGTTCGAGCAGAGAAGTGAACTTTTTCACTGACTTTGCAAAACAGTGTGGCATTTTGTTTTTCTTTCTATTAAGTTGTTCGACGCCATCGAAGAGGAGGCAGAATTTTGTTCTTTGTTCCTCCTGTTCTGCTTTGTTTATTTGCTTGGGATTGGTTGGGGTTGGTTTACAGTCTGAGAAAGTTCTTATACCTCATCTCATTACAAAAAATAAGGGCAACAGCGTGACTTGAGCATCACTTGGTAATAAATCTTGAAGAAGTTCATACTCTATCTTTATGTGCATTTGCCTCTTTCTGCCTGTAGGCGGCAGTAGAGAGAAGTAGCTACTGGGTTTACCAATTCTGGGTGAGGGTAATGCTGCAGATTCTTTGGCCTAGGTATGGATGAAGTCTTGCTCTGTTCCCTGTCAATAGTTGCAGGAAGGACATGATATTTTCCACATTCCTTGTATGTATTTCAAGACAGAGCTATATTGAGATTTTTCGATCTTAAAAGCAATTATAAGATAGTAAATTTGACTTTGGGAGTCAGGTAGAATAAGAGAGTAGAAACATAGCTCATAAATCTTCTGGACAATTTTATTTACTAGTGAGGAACTTCATTATTCTTCTTGAGTGTTTTATGTGTGATTTCAGACAAAGGGTTCTCATATTTTCAAGCAGGTACATAGATATTAGGTTTCATTATTAATTCAGATTTATTGCAGTGAGTGAGGTGTGTCATTAGACGTGGGACTGAACTTTGTCTGAACATTCAAATATACCACAACTTACCATGCAATTTAAAGACTTTCGGTGTTCTGGTTAGGTAGCAACTGGAGGAAGGAGTGGTCACGCGAGCCGGGATCGGCTTAGCCATTGTGAAACCTTGGACTCCCTCTACTGGAGAGTATGGAGATGCCAGTGTACCTGCGTGGTTCCAGGCTGGGCACGCTTTGCGGCTGTAATCCAGTCTGACTTATGCGGTACCTCCTATTAGGAGAACATCTGGTGAGAACCTCTAGGACCTGTACTCTGAGATAACTTGCTACCGTCAAGAGAAAGCAAGGTTGTTTATCGTTTTGTTAATGGCTGAGCATCTTTCGTTTTTCACTCAGACTTTGTTGTTCTTGAATATGCATCCAGGATGAACACAAAAGCGAATCAGAAGATGTAGGATGATGACCTTGCTTGGCTTGCTGTGTCATTGTAGCCTGCTGAGAATTAGCCAAAGCCAGACTGAACGTTCTTGACTGCCTTCTCATGGATCAGTCATCATGCCCTTTGACAAACGTTTGCGAAATGATGATGCAGTTATGACTAACTTCCACTTCTCAGATTGAGAGCAAGTCATTTTTTGTTCTGTTTATCCAGATAGGAAATTAAACAACCATAATAATCAAAAATAGATGCATTTGCTTTTGATGGAAGAAAATACCTCATGTCTGCAGGCAGAAGGATAAAGTATTTTTAAAGCAGTTTTTGAGCAAGGCCCTTGATCAGACCCTGCTCTCTGAAAAAGGTATGTGACTTTGGATAAACATGTCTGCTAAATAAATAAAAAGTAAATGCAATGTAAATGTTTCAGAAAGAAAAGGGTGAATTGAAGCTGGAGATAGAGGTCCTGTGAGATGGTACGTTTTGCTCTCCTTTAAAAGCCTTGCGCAACACATTTTCAGGTCAGAGGAGATGGAGGTGAAGATAACATGGGAAGAAGCGTCAGCCTGAGGTCAGTCTGGTGACACATCTGGCTGGCAGGGTGGAGTGATGCATGGAACACTGTCCTGGGGTTCTGCTGACAGCTCAACTCTGGAATTAATCCAGTAATATAAATACAACAGAAAATAGCCCCGGTTTCTCATCCACTTAAATTGACCATAAAGTTGCCCTGACCCACAGTGTAAATAACTGTCAGTGATTCCCTGTTTCTCTTTGGCACTGGACTCTTCTTCGCAAGTCGCACTCCCAGTGACCGAGAACATGCTGCTCAAATAGCGCCATCTTGTGTTCAGAAAGCATAGGGGAATTCATATTATCTACTCCAACCCTACAGTGTCACACAGAGTGTTTTAACTCTGCATCAGAGTATTTCTGTACAGGTCGTATGGGCCAGAAATTCTTAGCGTGTGGCATAGACGTAAGATAGTTTTGTTTAAAGATGTAGCCTTTGATTCGGAACAATTGCAAGTAATATCTTGCAATGGCAATTATGATAGCTACCGTTTGTTTCTCAGAGGCTTGACAATGGTCTATGACAGTGATTGTGGCGGTGATTTAGTGTACGTTTGTGTTAAAAGCCATAGGAGGATGCCCTTTGCTCTTGAAGAATCTGTTCGTGCTCATCACACATCTCTGAAATTCATTCCCAAACCCAAAGCACACACATTTGACTGATTCATCTCAACCACTTAAATACAGCAAGGCTAGAGATTATCTTTGTGGGTTACAATTAGATGATGAACCCACAGATAAACCTCCAGCTTCAGACAATCATTCCCTGAAGAGAAGGATTTAGATCCAGATAGGACTTTATAAAATGACTTACATAGAGTAAGCACCTCAATTTGGATAAATAATGGTTGTCAAAGCTGGGTGTACACTGTAGTATTGAATTACCTCCGGCACTTGTCTCATACCTTCTGTCTCTCTCTCTTCTCTCCGTCTTTCTGTGTTTAATTGCTTGTCTCTGATTGAGACAGGCTTGCGAGCCGAGTCTCCTGTAGGGTGCCTTGGGAGAAGGCTGTGGTTTCCAAAATTTTCAAAAAAAAAAAAAGCCTCAAGACCTGATTGGCTCAGAAACAGAGGTTCGCAACATCAGATAGCAACAAGACGTACAACTGTAACCTTCCAAATCGGACAACTGCAGATTGAAACATGTTACGGGCCCCTGTAAAGACAAGATGATGTCAGACGGGTTCTTTTCAGTGGAGCATATTGATTATGCAAAATGACTCGCAACAGTACAAACAGAGCCGACGCGAGCCAAGGCGGCTACTACGTTCGCAGCGTGGAGAGTGTATGCAGATATCTCTGACAAGTTAAAGCATTGTAATATATTGTAGTCCCCAGGCGATGACCACTGCGAATATTCAAATTATTTCTTAAAGGTCTACAGCAAAGATCGCATGGCTAATAGAAGGTGTTAGACAGCAGAGTTGAGATAGCAAGATGCTTAATGAGAAATGATTCTCGTTTGATTGACCCAAGGAAATGAGAGCGTCAGGGGCTGGCTGCTCTCCCCGTACGACGGCTGGCATTCGCGAGCGCCGGGAGTGTGTGCGTGTTTGTGTGTGCTATTAACGACAGGTACAGACAGACATGCCCCCAAAGAGGCCACATTCCTGGAAAAATATGGAGCAGGAGGTGGCGATGCCGGGTATGGCGGGGGAAAGGAGTTCGCGTCGACCTCCACGTCCATCATCCTGCCTGGCTGTGAGGCGTCCATGGGATCCCACCAGCTTTTGCCCCCATCGAGCTGCAGTTTAAGCAAGATGAAGCTCTCCCCCTCGCCTTCCATACTGCTGGCCCGAATTCCTGGAAAATATTAGCTTGTGCCGACTTGCAGGGCTCGAACTAATACGTAGGGAGTCTATTCCAGTGGCGTAAATAACTCCAAACAACACCTATTTTCTTGATGGAGTCTCATGCAGATGAGGCCTGATAGACGGGGTCAGGAATGGCCGCACAGTGCTGACCTAGCGTGAAGTCACCTGGTTAAAATAACACTTGTGGCGTTTGAGGTAAATGACGGGACAAAGTGGTACTGGCTTTACTAAACTGACTCAAGAATGGGAGAGAGAGAGAGAGAGGGAAAGAGAGAGAGAAATCCAGTTTAAACAAATGTCCTGTCTTCTGGTGTGAGCTGCGATGTTGACTGGTGCATTTAAAGCCAAGAGCTACAGTTGAAAAAGGACCGCTCTCTACTCGAAGGGTTTTTTTTTAATGCCAGTTTACATCAAATATTTTGGCAGGTGTTTTTAATGCTCCGTATGAAGAACTGCTAAATGCCAGAGTCTGAAGTGATCATGCAAATTAGTGCAAAATTCCTTAAGGTATTTTTACATATGTGCTAAATTTAGATTTTCTTTCCAGTATTCGTGCCTCTCCACACTTACAGGGACAATGACAGGGCAAAAATCTTGATTTCACTGTGAAATTACGTTTGCTCCTAAATTTTCAGACAGTCTCCTGATCATTCCCACAGTTTTTAAATTTTTTATTAAAGGCTTGTGCATTATAAAAATCTGTCCGTCCGTCCATCCATCCATCCATCCATCCATCCATCACCCAGTTCTCCAGTCTGAGGTCAGGGGGTCCTGGAGCCCAGGCAGCCTGGGTGGGACGTCAGTCCTGCACACTTGAACATTACGGCTGATTTTGGAAGACTGATTTCATGACCTTTGGCAGAAAACCTGCATGACAAGTAGAGAACATGCAAGCTCTTTACACAGAGCTACTGACCGAACCCACTACACCACCCTCAATAAACCTTGTGATAGAGAAATGTATAATTCTCATATTGGCATAATAATTTGTGCATTTTCCTGCACATCAGATCTAGGTATAGGGCATGTCATGGATATTTAATACATAAGCACAGTCCTCTCATGTGTTGGCCTGTCGTGATTCCTCTTCCGAGGTCACGCTTCTACAGGCATCTCAGGCAGATTCATCCACAAGTACGTTTCATATACAGATAAACCACAAGACAATGTTATTACTGCATTTTTCTGTATTTGGAGTAGGAAAATAATGTTTTGATGAGGATACATAGGATAAGTTCAGTGTTAGGATCACAGTGAGGAACGAGCCTTTTTCGGAGAGCGACAGAAGAGAAGATCAATGTCACGGCCTCAGAACTGGTGCAGCACTCTTCAGATGTATAGAAAAAAAACAGTGATTCACACTGCTGACCAAAATGAAGGGAGAGAATACTCTGATTTTACTCAACTATATTGCTTCAATTGGTAAATAACCAAAGAACCTTAGAACCACTGCTAAACAAGGTAAGGAAAAAAAAATGGAAAACTGGCCATTTTACAAAAAAAAAAAAACAAAAAAAAAAAACGATGTTAATACATATTTGGGGAAGTTTCAGTAAAAGTGCAAGACCCCCATACGTTAAATAAGCAAAGACCAAAGGGTAAAATAATTTCTTGATACCTCACAGGAAGAAATTGTCTTGAAATGCTGCAGGTTGCAGCTCGTTTTAGGTTTACACAACAATATACTCGTAAGAGCAGAAAACAAATGTTTACATGAAGCAGAAATGTTTCCATAGTCTGATACAGCTCTCCTTCTTCAAAGTGCTTTTGACAAAGGTGGGCACATTCGTCTTATCACCGTGAGTAGTCTTAGTGATATTACAGTATCATAAATAAAACAAGAAAAAGAATGAGTATCCATAATTATCTATAGATTTGGGTGACAGGTCACTGAAATGGTCATGTATTCGTTCTGTTCTAGGTATTCCTGCGATCCCATGTGTCTTTGTGTCGATGACCCTTCATCAACAGCAAGAAAAAGGATAATGTTCTAATGTTCTTCCACTGCCTTCTTATGCGGGAACAAAGCATTCTAGAGTGCTTATTCATCGATTCCCATAAGTAAAGGTTTTTAAAGTGCCACACACCCATGCCTATGAGTCACATTAAGTCCTCAAAACAGAAATCTGCTTCTCTTTTTGGTCAAAGATTGGTCTAGAGTTTTATGATGTATAGTCCTACTCCAGCAGAGACACTGACTTCTTTTTTCTGGAGAGTTCCAGAAGTTCAGACTCCACACTTTGCAGAGTTTTAGAAACTTAGTAAGGTACTCTGAAAAGTTTATTTTTTTTTGCCACTGAGGCTTTCGTCTCCATTTGTTTGTGTTCTACAAACTGACACCTAGTCATGTCCATAAAAAAGTTCTCTGTCGTGACAACCCAACATTCCCTTCTGGAATTTTCCACAAACAACAACACTGTTCATGCAGTCAAGGGCATTCGGCATAAGCTGCTCTTCACAGCTCCAGAAGTTGAAATGAGCATCTCATTTCTGGAGTGTTCTGGATTTTATTTTTAGGCCACTGTTTGCCAAGCTCTAAGAGTTCCAGAGGACGGAGCCGAGCTCCCCGGTTTCCAGAAGGGCTCCAGAAGTTCCTGCTGCTGTTTCCCGTTCTTACGGATGCTCCCGGGAGTCTTTTCAGATGCAGAGACTGAGCTCCTTGCGCACGGAGCACTTCTTGCACTGCACTACGCAGCACCAGTGGAACCTGCACAAGCAGTTCTCCTCGAAGACCAGTGTCTCGTCCCGGTAACCGCGCTCGCAGCAGAGCAGGTCGCAGCCACTCACGTCCATGGCCGTGCTGTTGCACGTGCGGCCTCGGGTACCCAGGGAACCCGTCTTCCTGTTGGGCAGACAGAAATCCGGCGACTCGGCCGAGTAGATTAGGTCCTGTTTGTCTGGAGGCTTGATGTTCTGCCCTACGGGGATGAGAGTCTTCCCGTCGTTACCGCCCATCACCTTGAAGGCTCCATTAAATCTCTCCAAAAGGCGATCGCCCACTTCACGAAAATGAGGCATCTTTTTCCAGCAGGTCCGAAGAGTACAGGAACCAGACAGCCCGTGACACTTACATTCAGTCCTCATATAATTCTTCACCGCCTGTAGTTAGACAGAGATGGATTGCCAAGATAAAGGGAGACGCTATTCTAAAAGAATTTACCCTCTTGTTGCCTCAAGCCATCCCAGAGCTTACAGGACTTGACGGCAGAGATCAGTTAGACACACGCTCCCCGATAATTAACCCGTGATAAATGCCGGGCCCTTATCTCCCTTCTGATTTTAATTAAAATGCTTCAAAATTGCACGTTGGAGGGGGGGAGGGGGGTGTTGTTTACTTTTCTCATTATCTGAAAGGACTTGCGCAGCTGTTATCTCAGAAATGTAATATGTCCGTCCAAATCCATATTTCTCCATCAGCGAGGCCCACACCTGCCCAAACACTATGCCTGACCCCCTTGCTCAGGCAGTCTTTAGCTGTGTGGTAGCGTCTCAGGCTGAGATGAAGCCACATGGACACAAGGAGAGCAGAGGTGAATCCTGAGCGATTCTTTATTCTATAATTAACAAGGAAAGCCAGACATGCCCCGAGTTTTACGTTGACTACCAAATCACTGCTCTGTGAGGTCACCACCCTCAACAAGAAAGCCAATCTAGTCCTCAAATTCCAGTCTAGTTATTTACTTAGTCTTTGAAGAGAACATCTATGAACCCGGCAAGAAAATACGGCTTCAAAGCGCAGTGAAGTGACGTGTCGTTCCGACGTTCCCGATATGCAATACGCAACCGCTATAAAAGCTTATTTACAATGACACTAAAATGCGACTCGCAACTTGTTTTAGATGTTTTGACAGACGAACAGAAAAGTCTCGTGAGGCTTAACATGCATTTTCCCTTGTGCCCTTTCAAGTCTGGCGGCAGTTAACAGGCAACATGGTACATAAAGGATGAGAAATGAGGCCGAATCCTTTGAGTAGAGGGAAAGCTTCATAGCTGCACTCTTCTGCCCTGTTTCTGCGGTCTACGACACGCGTTATGGTCATGTAGGCGTGACTATCTGTGAGTATTTGCACAGGTAATAAAACATTTGAGTGTACATGAGAAATTATTCAGGTATTTGCCGCGTCGCCCCAACGTCTCCGAAGTGGTTTTTTTTTTTTCCCCCCGGAGACTGTAAAAACAACGTGAGGTGAATAATTACGCACATGTGCGTGAAATAGCATCAAGCGTAACGTAAAAAAATTAAAATAAAAAATTTAAATCGGCTTATTGAAAGCAGATACGGATATATACTGTTTGCTTGTACAGGTTATGAGAAATTCATCAGGCATTACCAGTCTCCCTGCCTCGTTGTTGTGAAGGTCGATCAGCGTCCGTATGTCGCTCTTCCCCTTCTTTCTCTTGGCGTCCATGAACTGCTTGGACTTCTCGTAGCCGAACTCCACGTCGTCGCCGCAGCCGCCCCACTCCCACTTCACCCCGTCACCTCCGGCGCCGCCGGGAGGCCTGGGTGGGGCTCGGCTGCGGGTGGCCTCGCAGCCGCACTGCAACAGCTCCCCCATGCTGCAGGCCTGCGTCACTGCATGTGCCACGCCTGCTGCCGTGATGGCGTACACGAACGCTGTCTCCCGGATATCTGAGACACACAGGTGGGGTGGGGGCAGTGGGGAGGGGAGGGTGGTAAGGTTAGCGAGGGGGAGTTTTAAGTGGGGGCCCCTGTGTGACCTTGTCCGACAGTGCCTTCAGGTCACGTTCTGATAATCATGTCCTTTCATGCTCTACGCTCCTTACCAGCTCACTGGGGGACTCAAATTAACATCAATGGGCTCCGCTTGTATGGTTATATGGTATGTCCACCTCTACCCCAGTGTTTTTTAACCCGGTCTACAGGCGCCCCCAGACAGTCCATGTTTTTGCTCCCTCCCACTCCCAGACAGTCCACACTTCTTCTCCAGTAGACGGCTGGGAGGGAGCAAAAACGTGGACCATCTGGGACCCCCCCAGGGACCAGGTTGACAAACACTGCGCTAGCCACTCCATCCCTCTGTTCTAAGAGCCCCCCCTCCCCCAAAACCACGACCAGTTACACCATTAGATCCTGGCCTTTCTCTTTCACGTTACTCAGATATTACATTTTGACTTTTAAAGAGATCTAAATCAATTCCCACAAAATATTTTATACTAAATCCTATCATCAGCAGTATAGTCAGGAGGAGAGAGGGGGGGGAGGGAATAAATGACAGAGAAGAGGGAAAAAAACACTGAACAGCTCATTGTGATGAAGCTGAAATGAATAACTTTTATATTCCTTTAAATTCTGAAGCCAGTTTCATATCGCATGATTCAATGAATGGGATTCATTATCGTAAGTCAAATGAAATCTGTGCCATGTGATTGGCCCCTAAAGTCAGCGCGCCGTGATATTAACACCAGCTGTCAGTCTGCACACCAAGTGCTGCTCCCTCGCAGAACGACACCCTGACTCTGTCCGGCCCGGCGCTCCGACACCCCCACGCACCTGCGCCCCCCCATGTAAGTGGGTCCCAGGGCCGCCTCACCCTCTGCTTTCAGTTTGCCTGACAGTAGCCGCATTTGTCCTTGAGGTTGCCTCATTCTGCTGGGATCTGCTGGGCTGAATGTGGTGCCCCCAACCCCAACAAGGTGGGGTTTTCCTTTGGCAGACTAGCAAACTGTCCAAAGGGAGTAACCACCCCCCCCCCACCCACCCACAATTTAAAAACGTCCATACCATTGTACTAAAGCTTGCCATAGCTTATATGTATCATTGAGATAGTCCCCCCCCTGATATTCAATAATTTTGCCCTTCAAGAACTCATTGCCCCTCAAAGAAGTCATTTTTCCCCTACGTGTCCCTACTTTGGAGGGGGGGGGGAGGCAATAGAAAGTGTTTTTGTAGTCGGGGGGTGTACTGGCGGAAGGGATTTGTGGGATAGATGCAATTGAACACAGTGGTTAGGTGGGTAAAAGTAGAACTAATCATAAGCTGGAGAGATTTCACACTGTCACTGAGTCATGGTGCTCTATCTTGGTGCTCTGCTGTGTGGATCCTCGCTTGCACACTTCATGTTTATGTTAGTGGTGCTGAAACAGGAGCCGCAAGCCCATTCTTAGGTCATTTTCAGAACTATTGATTGACCAACTTCTACACAATCTTCTTTTAGATTAATTGTTCTGTAAGTAATTGAAGAGGAAAACATCTATGCGGGTAAAATTTCTAGCCAAGTAGCTGACAATTGTGCATCATTTGACAGACGAAAGTTCGTGAGATTTCAGTGCAGAAACAGATAACTTCACTTTTGTTGAGCGGCTGATCCAGGTGTGCTTAGAGAATTTATACATTTTCCACCTGGTTTGTTTGTATTGTTGAGCTTCTTTTTGGGAGTTCATATCTAATTAAGCGATTAGGGTTATTAAAAATTAAAATTCTCCAGAATTTAACTGGCTGTGTATTCTCCTCCGGGACACAAATTCCGAGCGCATTTGTACAGCTGCCTGTGTCTGGGCCTGTCTGCTAGAGTGACTGATGCCAGGAGGGTCTCCTACAAGAATTAGGATTTTTTTTTTTTTTGCTTAACTTTAAGTCAATGATGCATGGATGCAAAAAAAGAAAGAATGAGAGAATACAAGGCCGTCTTGAGTATGGGAGACACAGACTCATGGTCATGAATAAATATGATTGATTTATTTTGCTTTCTGCGAGCTGTCATCCAGAAAAGGTTAGCCATATCTTACAGCACGTATGCATACCTGAAATCCATTTCATTAACTGCTGATATACAGGAGCACAGCAAGTAATCCACAAGATTGCTTCTCGTTCCGACTCTTCGCAAAAGAGCGAAATTCCAACCGCGTCTGATATACATCCGGAATCGTGCATGATCTTTGTCGTAGCTGATGACTATATATAAAAGAAAAAAAATCTGGGACGGTACGTTAACGATGGTGTTTAATGACGCATTCCTCGCATATTTGCAGGTGTGTAATTGTGCTTATAGGAACAGGAGGGTGAAACAAGAGAGACAATTAGCCTCCAAAGACCATACGCCTCAGGCAGGTAGACGCTGTTTATTCTGCGGCCATATTGTGTTACCTGACATGACCTTGCCGTCACCTCAGATAAAGTCTATTTCGAGAAAAAAGGCTTCACAAAGAGTTTTGGGGCTCTGCCCATGCTTTGGTCCAACAATTTTTAGCAGCATATACAGCTAGATAGACTACCTATGTCACTAAAATGCAAGGTGGTCCTCATAGGGCCCCTGCTGAGACCTGAACCCCTCAACTCTCAGGTTGTGAACCCACATGCTAAGCCGCTGCACTACCCTAAAACGTCCCACAAACCAGAAAAATGCACGAAGTGTTAGAGCTGACTGAGAGCACGGTGGCACTGGAGAAGCTGGAGATCAAATACGGCACCTACAACCACATGGCCAAACTTTGTGTATCTAACATTTTATCCGTATTTCATATACCTAAGCAGAGCATGTTCACGTTAAAGTCTCTGTTCGGCTGTAGCACTGAGACTGAGACATGTATCCCTCTTAAATCTTCGAATTGTCGAATCTGAGTTAGGACATTTTTTTTCGCAAGACTGACTTTTTGAACCCATGGGAAGAACCTATACAGCGAAGCGATTCTCATTTATACCAAAACCCAGCGGCCTTAACAGCCAACGAACAAATGCTGTTGTATCCTCAGTAGCGATATGAATCGCATCCGTGCTAAAACAGAAAAAAACCAACAACCACAATTCATTTTTGCCTAGTTAAAATAATATCATTGCCATAAGCCAAGAAAAGCACTCGACAGGATTATGGCCTGAATTTGCCCTGGGGGGGGGGGGGGGGGGGGGATACTTTTGTCATTTGCCTATGTTATTACCCAGAATGTGCAGGTTTTCTGTTTTTTCCAGTGCATGACCCTGGCGAAAGCAACCAAGCCGAAACCTCAAAACTATATATGACATGAAAGGATGACTGACAGCAACACAGACAGAAGCCACTCTGATAGCAATGTAAATCACATTCTTGGAGTGGGGGTGGGATTACAGACAGATAAGCATATTTATTAAATTTCTCATTATTGTCCCCCAGCATATCTAATTGCTTCATTATAACCCAGAGACAACATTAGGCTGCCAGGAGACATCATGAAAAAGTCTGGCAAGGAGGAGCACTTCCTTGGGCCAAGAAAACAACAGGTTTCGTCTCTAAGTTTGAAAAGAAAAGGGTAATAGCCTGAGGTCAATTTTTGCAAAGGGGAGCAGAGAAAAAACACACACGTCCTAAGCCACTCTTCAGAGTTACACAGGTGGTTTGAGTGGTTTATGAGAGCACTCACGACTTTGTGGTTCTTTAAATGGGCTCATGTTAATTGTAGGTATATTCTACTAGCCAGAACCACCAAGTAACAGAAGCCACAAAAAAATAAAACCTCAGGGAGCCATCGCTTCATCTCGAAATATTTTTGGCCATCGCTCCTTACAGCAGTAAGATATGCCAAGATACGTCTGTCTCTGTCGAATCTCATGTCTCTCTCTAGCAGAATAATCATTAAAGATGTTTGTGCAGAATTGCTCATACAACCCTAAGGAATACAAACACAATAATACGGCGAAAGGAACGCAAGGGTTCCTCTGAAACTATATCGAGTTGCTCAAACATCGCAGGCTCGGGCTAGGGGTCATGAAACTGGGGTTACTGCACCACCCACAAAACTGGGTTGAATAAGACTGACCATTGTCGTTCAGAGGTGTACTGCCCTCTACTGGTCTGCCTCGTTTTAGTCAAAGTTTACAGTAACGGTGCATGCAATTACACTTCAAGAGAACTTTACGATTTTACTCAATGAGCTACCAGCATTGTGCTACAGTACCACCAGCCTGTTCATCTTTTCCAGAAGAGTTCAGACATATGCATGTCTTTTAAACACAAGAGGCCATAACAAAGGGGTATGAAATCCTTCTAGATTAAATGCTTTGAAATGGGTAAAGCCTACATTTTCCTTTGCCACTTTCTTTTCTTAGTACCACTGTTATGGCGATTCCTGAAGTTCAGCTGGGCCTTTATTTGGCTTGCAGTATGATTTTTGCTCACCACCACGAAGCTCACACCACTGACATTGCAGTCGACCAGTGCGGGGTCGACAAAAGCCCCAAACCGGCGGATTTACCCCACGGCACGAGACGAAGGACTTCTACAACGCTAAAACAGAGCAGTGTCTAATGACAGTACGGCAGGGAGGAAAAAAAGCCGGAGAGCTTTTAAAATTCAACAGAATAATTGCAGAGAGCAACAGGCATGCATTAGTGCATTACTTTTATTACAGACTTCAAAGAGCTGGCAGATGAGGAGGATCAATGGTTACGGGAGGCAATTTTAGAGATCATACTGAGTATGCAATCTGAAGCAGGGGAAGCGTGGCAGTGGGTAAAAATGTCTCTCACAGATACAACAGGCATCCTTGTTCTCTGGCGCGGCCACAACTGCAGTGTTGGCATGCGGGAAAAATGGTTTGGTGGACTGGCTCTCCCCTGTGGGGGTCACAGGTTCATCGCCCGGGACTGAAGACGCGAGGATGATTCGCGACAGGCGGACAGGCGTGACGGATTCCAAAAGGGTGACAAGGTGACAGATTAGTCAGCAGGTGGTCTGTCAGCGCTTTTACATGAGCGGCTGATGGACTCGGTCTTTGGGTGACGGTTTAGACAGGTGAGAAGCTATTTCCATGGTTTTGTTTTGCTACTGTATATAGGAGGGAATAAGAAGAGATAACAGATTCATCCAACGTTCAGAAAAGACCCAAATAAAGCTCAATGGAGACTGAGATGCCAAATGCTTAGAGCTGACTGAGAGCACGGTGGCACTGGAGAAGCTGGAGATCTAAACACAGACACAGTGCTACTCATATATTTACTTGGACTTAAACCAGTCTTCAACTTTTTTTTGTGTAACTACAGATACAAGGTTGCAGAGGGTTGGAAGTTCTGAAGCAAAGAATCTGTTACTTTCTGCCATCTTTTCTGCACCCCTCAAACTTGCTCTCACCCAGGCAAAAAGACAATTTCCTCCTGGGGATGAAATAAATATTTCTATTCTATTCTATTCTATTCTATTCTATTCTCTTCTATCCTATAGTTTCTGAAACGTTGCTTGCACTCCATTAATATATGTCTATATCTCTATTAATTCAGTGGATTCGTCAGTAGTCTTCATCGCATCCCTCTAAACAGTGCGAAGTTACCTTTCATCACAACCTAAGCCCTCTGGTTGGATACTACACCCACACGCGTTTCCAAAATCTTGCTCAACATCTAGTGGTGTTCTCCACCACACAACACAGCTCTCCATTACTCACCTTGCTGCAGGATTCTGCCAAAGTACTTGTTCTGACTGGTGCAGTTCCACCGTCGAAAGCGAAACTGGTGCTGGCACTCTCGCACCCCCAGCTTGGCGCCCTTGGCCACCTCGTGGACGATCTCCGGCTGGGTCTGGCACAGTTCTGCCTGCTTGCCGGCGAGCCGCTTGGTCTTCCGGCAGATGCTGTTGGGGTCCATGACTAAGGGGCTGCCCACAGCCCTGCCAGAAACAACATTGGTTGTGAGCTCAGATCCTTGTACAGATTCCAGAGAAGATATTGAATGTTCAACTGCTTTCAAGAAAAAGTACAAATAAAGTCCCGGGCTACAGCAGATAAAGATCTGTTGTTGTCATTCCCCATTATTAGATGAAAATCACTTTTACTCCCCAGAAGGAAACACACATAATATGTAATCATGCATTTACTCCATCAAACACATATGATGGCATTAAGATTAATAATAGAAAAAGGCAGCTGTTGACAGTGGATTTCTGAAACATGCATGTTCAGATTCAGGTTCACAGTTTCAGTGTAGGATTTGCGTCCAGCACTCAGACCCCAGGCCAGAACTTCCCTGTGTCTTCCCAGTTATAACCTAAGAGCAGCAGCATTCAGTACAGTGTCGTTCTGTTTGACTTCCACTTATCTGATCAAGCATATGCTTCAATGGTGATTCACAAAGATTGAGTCTTTATCTAGACAACATCAAAAGTATGATTCCAAATGCACTTTGTCTCCAAAGAGCTCTATCTTTGTAAATAATATTAGGAGAAGCAAAAGCACACTGTTCTTGAAAGTGAAGGTTTGTACCGTTGATTTTTTTAAATTAAAAAGTTATAAATTTAAAGTTAAAAAAGTTATGAACAAACACCTTTGGTTATCTTTTCACCTAAAAGTAAAACTCTCATAAACTATAAACAGATGGCTATGAAAAAAATGTTAAGAGTGTCTTTCAATTAACCCCCAACTGCATTAACAGTACAAACATCTGTCAGTCAAAAAAAAGCCTTGTAATTCCAGTTCTGTTTAGTGATGGATGAATGGCAGCCATTGTCTGCTGTTTGAACACGCACCTCGAACAAACACAAACTTGATCACAAATGAAATGTTGCATGTTCAAACAACATGCGGGCCTCGTCTAACATTACACACATGATGTTTTTATTGAACTTCTATGGTCATTCCATAACTATTTCAAACAAAAGCTTGGAGTGCTTACATAAACCATGTCTTCACTACCTGGTCTTGGAATTCGCGAAATGAGGCAGACAATGGAAATCTGAGCACAGTGGTACGTTTACGCACTCGATGGTCCTCTGGTTCAGCTTGAGAATCTATTTACTGTGTTTCCATAGAGAGGAACCGAGGAACATGGACCGCAGTACTGCTCTGTAGGTCATAATCTACTGAATCCACCCCGCTATTACCAAGAACTGCTGACGTGGTACATTTATACCTCCTTATTATCAAACGGCTCAGAGTCTCCAGACCTGCACAGAAGTATCACCTGCCAGAGTCAGAGACTCTGGATCCACATGTTGAATTTTTTTTTTAAAAAGGCAACTCGTTTTACAGTGAGAGGTGTGGATTTATTAAAAAACTGAAAACCATGACGACCCCCCGCCCCCCCCCCCACACCACCACCACCACATTTTTTAAGCCAGCAGCCTCTCACCACTGGAATTACAGATCCCCATTCAGTCATTCATTACTGGATACTGAAAGTGAGTTGACCTGCAGATGCGCCTCAACTGTGAACCCAAAAGCCAATAGATCGGTCACTTTGCAGTACGCATCACATCTCCATGGTTACAGTTACAATTCAGGGAACAAATTTATGCTACTTTTTAGAGGCTGAATCGGGTCTCTATAATTGATCCTTATCTTTACACCGTTGGGGTCTCCTGTATAAAACATAAATGCTCAGAGCAACACAAAGCTAGCAAACAAGGAGGGAGAATGACCAGCTGGAATTTTCCATCTGGCACATTCACTCTGCTCCACGATCTCAAAATACGGTGACGTGAGAGATCTTTTAGTGGCCTTGTAGAGAAAATGCCAGAGAGAATCCGGGGATGACACACATATATTATATATGTATATAAGACTTATCTTGGCATACTATAAGGTTTGTGTGTGTGTGTGTCCTTATCATTGAAACTTAAGCTCGCAAAGGCAGATAACGTAAAGATAAGGGCTAATCATAACATAAACAGGGATGTAAAGCCATCTTCACAATCAGGAAACGATGGGGCAATGTCACGCATGAAATGCAGGACAAACTAAAAAACACAAAAATACAGACAGGAACTATGATAAGAAACTTCTGACAGAACAATTGCTCCTTATGTAGATGAGGTTTTAGATGCGTCCTCAGTTAATACTGTAGACCTCAGGTTTCATTATAGACAGCAAAACCAGAGATGTCTCGTTTTTTTCTTCTAAATGTTGGAAATGAGTGAATTTCATCCTCCCTAATCCCCAAAGTATGCTGGATATGAAGTCAGTCACGACAGGGCTGGGAAGAGCACGAGCGCCTTGGGTTCAGTCCTGTGGTCGGTGGCACGGAGCCATGGCAAAGTCCCCGGTACGCAGAGTCTGAGATCCCCCGGTGTGGAACAGGGCCGGTCCCACACTAGTGCCTGTCACATGTTTGTCTTTAAACATGCAAATTTGATGGGTGGGGTGTGGTGGCTGTAACGGGATTGGGGTGGAGATGGAGGCTCCCGGAGTAGAACCTGAGGGCCAGGCTAATAGAGAAGCGCCCACATGCAGCGCGTGACGTGCGGTGTGCGTGAGCTTGGAGAGGTGGAGAGGACTCGCTCGCTTCATCTTTATCTGATCCCACCACCTTGCGCTTTTTTTTCTTCTTTTTTTGTTTTTTCACCATAACTGGAAATCGCCTAATTTTTCCAAAACAAAGTCTCACTTACAAATTTGAAGGGGGGTGGGTTGAGATAATATCTCGCGATAACGCGGCGTTCGGCAGGTGGCGGGGCCCCGGGAGGGGCGGCAAGACGCATGCGGGGCCGCCGGGGGAACGAGGCTGCGGGGCTGGAGGCTCGCGCGCATCTGGGGAGCACGCGCCTGGCTGACAGCCAGTGCATGAGCCGCAAGAGAAGGGTGGTGGTATTTGGGGGGGGGGGGGGTTAGCCCAGCCTAGGGGGGAATCAAGGGCAACAGAAAAACAGCCCGAGACCCGCAAATCTAGGTCGGGTGTGTGTGGGTGTATATGCGCCGGGGTGCAGCTACAAGGCGCAGCGTACTAAGCGCCTCTCTGCAGGGGCGACCCGACAGTGAGCAGCGGTCTCTCTAAAGCAGCGCGATGAAAGCATCTTTGTCCCACCGGGCTGGTCGCTCCAGGTGTGGACTCTACTCCGCAGCAAACACCGCGCTCTGACCTTGACTCTGCCGCTGGACAGTCTTGGAAACTCTTGCACCAGCAATAATACCGTTTATATCGTACTGCGAAATATCTAATTACTTGGCATTTTCTTCCACAGTGCCAAAAAAGCCCTTCTGACCCTAATATACACTACAGAATGCAGAAATGGAAATTATTTTATGATGACATATCTGTTGCATCTATGTCCACCAAGAATTCCGTCTCTGACTCCTTCCTCATGTCGTAGCTTTGACTACAGGCTATAACTCGGCGGACTGTTGACCCATCACAGTATCTAAAATGAATAAGCCATTTAGTTTTTCATTACGAAACTAAACATTCTCATGTCTCAGATTGGCCAGATGGTATTGCATTATAAAGCAATAATTTCTCATAAATGCGAAAAAAAAAATCGGGAAAATGTACACAATTATAATATTTCCCATAAACTTAAAGTTTGCTAATATTTTGGGGCCCTTGAATTATGCCATTAAAACTCATTTGGTTTAACAATTAAAGGGGCTCCAAAGAGTGTTAGCCTGCAGAGTCCCTCCGTGTTCCCAGTATAACATCCCACATAAAGATTATGGTTTGGGGCTGCATACCGTTGTTACCTAATTAGCGCTGTTTCTAAAACAAACAAGTTATCCACCCTTCGGAAATGATACCAAGTAACGAAAATGTGATATTACCAAACTGACGACTTAGGGCAGCACGTCAGAATAATTTGAAAAACCTTAACTGATACTACTACTACTAGTAGTACTACTATACTACTACTAGTAACAATAATAGACTAATAACAATATCAACAACATTAATAATAATAATTATTATAATAATGTATTTGTTGGTGGATTTGTTGAAAAATGTTTTTTTTTATCGCGAAATTACCGTTTATATTCAGGTAAATAAAATTGCCTTGTAAATGTATATTTCATGATAACTTACCACCACAACCCGATAATGTTGACTGGACAAAGAAGAATAAAAAACAAGGCAAGCTGAGTTCGAGATATTGGGACCATCCTGTTGAGAGTGAACTCCTCCAGAAAAATCAAAGAAATTACAGGGAAACGCCGGATTCATGCGGGGATTCTCACGGAACGTCCTGAAGGGTCGGCGAGCTTTCAGCACCCCCCAAAAAATGCGTGCAAAATCCTTTGAACTCCTCTTCAGTCATGTCGGTGAGTTCGATCATTCGCCGGGGCGGCTGGAGACGTTCGCGCAGATAGTAGGTGCGTTTGCCTGGGATGCATGATCTCAACCCTCAACAGCCGGGGGAACTAATATGAAGGTGACAGGCACGTCCCGACTGAAAACTCCCAAATTCCAATAGCGCAGCGATTTCGATCTGGCAGCGAGGTTTCTGCAGCCCGAGGGGGGTGGAAAGAAGCCAGACCTCGGGCAGGAGCTACAAAAAAGTGAAATCAAAGAGCCAACACGTTCTACGCGGAAATTCAACCGTATTATCGCACTAATGTTCAGCCACGGTTGGTACTGAACCGACATGTGCTTGTCGCTCTGTGCCAGACTGCGCATGGTTTCGGATTGAAAGGCTACAGGTAGGCGTCAAGCACATCATGTCAACCCCTAAAAGCACTCCCCCCCCCCAGCCTTCAACCGAGAATGTTCCTTAGAAATACTATCAACTGCCTCCGAGCGTGACTTGGGGCCAAGAGAAATCCTTTTTTGTCACTCCTAAAAAAGTTGAATAATTGGATGAAACCGACTGCGCTTGAGAGTCCAGGCAGAGGAAGCGTCTCACTTACTAGGAGCTGCGTTTACAGTAAAGAAATCAGAGTTGAATTCGGTGCAATGGGCTCCGTTTGGGCCAGTCTGACAACCAGGTACGTTTTAAAAAGTTGCAAACGTACCAATTTCAAATAAAACCTATATTCATGTAATTACTAGAAAAAAATATATAGAAACATAATTTATATAACATTAAAATAATTTTAAACAGCTTTCAAAACATTTCTTATATTTTTCCCAATTGCATCTGTTGCAGCTGGGGGTCAAACTCATTTAAGTGATTTCCTAAATTTTAAAATATCTTGTGTTCAAAGAAACTCTGACCATGCGTGAGCATTTTTTTCTGGTAGGTTATTATCAAGTTTGATCAGTAAAAACTTGCAAACCGAACGTAACATAAATCATAATCCCCGCCAAATACCTGCTTTTTCAGGAAATATGGGAAGGTGTACTGTACAAACACGTCCAGCTCAACGCAGACGCTGGGAAAACGCGTGCGGTCAAACAGAACCAGATTGTTAACGTTGCATAGTCCTGTCAGGGGGGGCATGTTTGGTATTTGTTTGGAAAGCGCATTAAAATGTGACGGGATAAACTGTATCATCAAAAGACTCCCCAGTCCTTCCTGGATACTTGTGACAGCAAGACCCCCGCCTCCCCAGGAAAACTGCTACAGAGCATATGGGATATATCCAGTGCTTCCAACGCGAAAGCCCCATCAAAAAGACCAATAATAGCCAGCCCTTACTACTTTCAAAACAGCTATAGGACTGACCATTATGTTATTTCCCATGTAGTACAGTTCTTTTTAATGTTCAATATAGTACAGTTATTTTAATGTTCAATCATTACAGCTATCAAGCGTTTTTTATACACAAAACATTTGTTCTTCATATAGGCTCTGTTATTAAACTAAAGGTATTTCAAATCAAAGTAAAAAGTACATTTTTGTTGTCTGACTGTTGTTCGTTACATTTTCTTGTAGAAGTGTGTCAGATAATTTTTTAAGTTAATTGACTTCGTAGTCTGTTGGGTACTAGACGTACCGTCAAATAATAGTAAACTGCAAAAGTCGTTTTCCCAGTATTGGAAACTGTACTGATAAAGCCGGACACAGCTTCCAGTATTTGCCTATTTAATTTTAGTTTTGTACTTGCCATGTGCTAATTCGGCGGAAATCAGACGTTTGAAGACATAATACACGGAGTATTTGAGATGTATTGAAACGTGCAGCAGGGACAGTGCTGAGCCCCAGCCGTGTGCTCGCGCACTAACCACCCACCCGCAACGAGCTCTTTCGCTTTCATCAATTTACTCCGTGATTTTCATTTTATCCCCACCAGACTGGGGAGGCGGGAAGCTCCGCCCACACCAGCTTTACAGCGGGTAGTCTTCATAACGAGTCAGAAATCTAAGCCTCCACACAGACCCGCTCCTACAGAATACGAAAGATTTACTATTGCATACCAATGATATCAATCAAACTCCAGGGGAAAGCAAAATATGTCACTTAGTCGGTGCACGTGATGGGTATATTTTTCATCTAGTTCCTTTATACCTCCGAACAGAGAGATCAGTTGAACCATTTGTCCGCTATCTCACAGCCCAAACTCTTTGATTCTCTCTCCCCCCTCTACTCTCTTCCCTTCCCAACTTCAAAGAGGAAATATGGTAAAGTTTTGTCTAAAGCCGCAGGTGTGTCACAGCCGTATCATTCTGATTGATCAATTTTTACTTAAAAGGGAAGATAAATCTGCTTCAGCTCTGTGATATTTTAATGTGTGCAAAACAGCGATACAGGTACCCTGAGATCATACAGCAAAGGTCGCCATAACTCCTGCATCGGGTTTGGGTTTTACTGTTTTGGTTTGCTGCGGTCACAAGGGGTTTCCTGTTTCTCCACTGTGTTTCACAGTTTTACAAAAGCTGCGTTGCACTTTCCCCAAACTAAACTAAATGGGGAAAAAAACAAACACTTACTATTTTTGACCTAATACTTTCTCCTGATTACTACAAAGATGCAGCAGTTGACTCTTCTTTCTTAGACTGTTGCATATACTTTTAGTCAAAGTATCATTTTTTGCTAAATTATTTAATAACTTGTTCCCTAAAAGCATGTATTATGTAAACTGTCTTCGTTATGTAGTGTGAGGTTTTTGTTTCCCTTATCCTGATTAAACTAGATTAAACTCGACCTTAATCACAGGTCCCAGGTCTCCAATAACACGCTGATTTGCGTGCGAGCACGCGTGTGTGCGTGCGTGCATGCGTGTGTGTTTTGTTAGGGAGGAGTGATTTCTCATACTTGGCTTGAACTTTGTGGACAATAAAGATCCCATTTCAAAGTGCAGCGGGGTGTTAAGCCCAGGGTCCTGGCGAAACCTTCCTGGGAACCGGCTTTAGCGAATCCATCGCAGCGTCTGCAGCGCGGCACTTCCCAGATTCCCGGAGAGGGCTGAGGTATCTCCCCGGATCACCTTTGCCCCGTGCACCCCGCCCGAGTCCGGAGCGCACGCCCTCTCTCATCTCAGTCAACCGGCTGTGAAATTGGGGCCTTTCGTCGGATGGCCCTGCCAAGACAAAACCTCTTCTTCCTCTCGCTCCTCAAGCCACTTCCTGGCCGCCCCACACGCTTCCCTTTTGTATCCTGTCCTTTTAATCCCTGCAGCCACCTCGTCCTCACTTCCCTCCCCGGGGACTCTCGTCTAAAACGATTAGAAACCCTGTCACACATAATATTTTTTACGTTAAGTCGAAAAAAAAAAAAAAAAAAGAATCTCGGCCAAATTAAAAACATATGATTGTTATATGCCATAACCCTTTAAAACAAACCGCAGCCATTTTTGGAATCCCTGCGAGAAGTGGAGTTCACGAAATTCCTCAAAAAACTGGCAGCGGAGCCGTGTTATAAAATGTCACGACTGCCACAGGCTCTTGCGTTCTGGTAAATAACGGCGCGTCAGTTGGGCTGTTTCGGTTATCACGTGACGCCCCGTCTGTGGTAAACGGGACTGATGGGGCTTGAAATACGGTAGTTTGACGTGCTAATATTGATCTGGGAGAAGCCGGGCTTGTTCCAGTCCTCGTGAGAGCCTGTAAAGGATCCACATGTGAGCGGACTATGTCTGCTCCGAACAGCAGACGCCGTTTCGTATTTTCTTCATCGGACAGCCCAAGTCGAGGCCTATCGACGCTGACACTCATGTTCCTGGTATGTCTTTGTTCTGCCGCTTGTGTATTGCCCTCAGAAACAACAAGTTTCACCTCTGACATTTTGTGGGAGTCGCGTGCCTCCTTGTCCACATTATACTTCCATTGAAGATTACATGAACTGGCTGTAAAGCGCATTCAGATTGTTATTTTTGTTTTTTATTTTTTACTGAGTATGAGATCAGCTCCCTAACCCTGACCACTCTCCTCAAAAAACGGGCCAGGTTATTGAAAGCGTAATTAATCCCAGCAGCGGTTGTGTCCATCAGAGCGCGTCAGATTTAAAACTCCACAATAATGTCGCCGTGAAACCTCTCTTTATTAGATTAAGGCCTGGCCCAATCAGTGGTGTTAACCGTTGTGCACTGTTAAAGAGGGCCTCATTGTGTTCCGTTCTGATGCGTACAGACGCCTCGGTGACCCCGTGCTGTCCTCCTCGCGAGTGTCACGTTCACGCTGGCCTGACAGATACTTCCAGCGTCTCCCTAGAAAGTTACAATACACGTCTCTGCCAGTAAAGCGCTATTGTCGAAGAAAGGCTACTGTACAATGGGGATTTTATTCCTGCCCAAAATAAGCTAGAGTCCTATTCATGTCGCTACCTAGCATTGACATGTAACCGCACAGAAAATGTTGTGCAATAAAGCTGCTTTTAATGTCATAAAAACCAGTGACTTTTCCTCATGCTGGCCCAACTGCGGAACCAATCACCGCACTAGAGGAGAAAGACAGAAAAAACAATTGCATCCATGAAGGACATATTGCTGACATAAATAGTTTGCCTAAAGAGTTCTTTGTTGGCTTTCAGAAGGCTGCTCTCATAAGGTTAGTGAGCTGTACCGTATTGAAATAAAAGTCAAGGATTTATGTCTTGCTTTTAGGCATTTTTAAGTTTCAGCAACACGGTGGCCCGTCTTATAGAACGGTTGCTTTATATGCTCAGGGTTTGAGGTTCGAACCCCATCTGTGTTCTGTGCACATGGAGTTCTGTGAGATTCTTCTAAGTACTCCAGTTCCTTCTTGCAGTCCAAAGATATACAGTTAACTGGGTGTCTATATTGCCCATAGTGTGTGCCTCATGATGAATAGCCTCCTGTCCGGCATGTTACCCCCACCTTGCTGCCTGGGATAGGCTCCAGGCCCCCCTGCTCAGGATAATTGTTTGCAAGACTCATGGATATTATTTAGTTTCTATTTTATTTTTTATAGACATGTACTACCTTTAAATGACCGGTGCTTTTCCTTATATTCCTCACACATGTGTTTTTAAACAGTTTAAATCCACAGGAGAAATGATCATCATATGAAGAATTAATTCTCTTCTTAATCTGCAGTAACATTACCTGAGATAAGTGAAATAATAGTCATTTTATGCAAGGGGAATAATGGCAAATTTCCAGTGTAATGCATGGCTTTTTTAATCGTACAGAGAGACTATCTTGTAATCTGAGAAGTTACAAATGTAGTAATGGTAACTGATCGTAAATTAAAGTGGCCTCCTTTAAATAAATATTCAACAAACAACATTTGGCACTCATACCTGAAGCTTGAAATATATCACTATATCGTTCTTTTTCCA